CCTGCCTAATATTTTATTTTTTCGTTTTTCTAAAAAGAAAAAAAAATCATCACAGTTAAGCATTAAAAAGCTGAGGTAATCAATAAATTTTTTTTGTCCATACCAAAGTATAGTAATTCAAAGTAGTACCAGTATGGTGAAAGGCCTTAGTAGAATAACACGGTAACTGTTCCCACTGAAAGCATGCAGTACGGCGTTAAGAATCTTTCTACCCATGCCTTTGTCGTGGGGCTCTGATAACTCTGGACTTTAGAACTGACTTATCTGTGTGACCAGGGTTTTTTTGGGGGCGTGGGGGGGGTCATGTTAACCACTCAATGCTTGGCCCAGCCACAACTTACTACCGAAGTGACCCACCAGGGACTCAACCAGTGACCATCGGCAGCCGCATGATATTCCATTTGGCATCAAATCTGAAATCTGCCTCGGTACCTCACACCAGAGGGGGCGGTGCAGCATCCACCTGTTCGAGGCCAATGCGTTTTCCACAGTTGCCACACAACAGCCGCTCTAAATCATTCTAGGTGGCGCCCAATACCCTGCGGCGAATTGTCCTTGTGCAGTAGCTTGATATGCAGCACAGAGAGATTTTAGACAGGTCTCCAGTGACGAAGGGGAAATACTCACCTAATGCCTACCTGGAGCGCCGCACGCAGCTCCCCCCCCCCCGCAGGACAAAAGTCACTAAGCAGAATGTGCTAAAGCGCAGAGATGATAAAGCATATGCTGGACGACTTGTGCGCCGCTACGCCAAGTTCAAGTACAGGTCATGGGATTATCCAAAAGCAAAATGCATTGATGTTTCCCCCATGTACGCAGACGCATCAATTACACACAGATTCGGTGGCAAAATGTTTCGGCGGACCTGCGAAAACCCCCTTTTCGGCATCCGCACAGATAGCCCGTTCCGACGTCCTACACTTGAGAATTCTACAGAGCCAAGTAAGCTACAATCTCTTCACCTATTTAATAACAATTGCACTTAAAACCTATGTCGTTCTCGAAGAAGAAGCTGGGACAAAGTGCCGAAAGGGCCTTTGTCTCAACTTCGGGATGCTGTCTAGCAACGCAGCTATTTCTAGATATATGGCTTTTGCGGGTCTTTAGACGACTTATGCTAAAAAATAAGGAGCCATCGGGTTTCTGCTCAATCACGCCAGCTGAGTAAAAGTAGTGCGTGCTTCTAACACTCGTGTCATTTCCCCCCACCCCACCCCAATACCTTTAAGCACAATCCACAAGGAATCCACATTGAAATAAATCAACGCCTCACGAGGAGGACAGAGTTCTTACGGATTGTGCCCACAGCATTTTAGTCATTTAACCCCTTTGGATACCCTTCAGATGTCAAGATCTTAGCGGGGCCTCTGCGATCGCGATGGGGCCCGACTTGGGGTACTCTTTGAACCCCCCTCCCGTATGCCGAGTCCTTTGCGCTGTCCAACATCGTTGGCAAAAACACCATTCTGCCCGCGCTGAGACTGTGCCATCTAAAGAGTACACCTTGAATTTTCACATTTTAACAGCCAAGCTGACTTCGATTTCACACCCCGACTGCTCCTTCCAAAATTAATTGCTAGCTACATTTATTTCTACCAGGCACTATTAGTATATCTTAAGAAGAACTAGGGTACAATCATGCATAGATAATCCACAATCCTGACGCGAGGATGTCCTGTTACCTGTAATATGGGCATTACGACCACCTCACGGAAAGCTCAGAATATATTTAATGACTAACTCTCGGCTTTCGGTCTTAAGGGAATCATTTTAATCCCATCCAAGTCCTACGGAGTGCAACGGTAACTTAAACACCGGCGAACCGGGGAGTGGTGTGCTACGCAACCATCTCAAAACTATTTAAATCTTTAAGCTGCCCCACCTAATATTCTCAGATGGGAGCTCTTTTCCAAACAGGCATCATCTGCAGGCCCACTATGCTCAACAGGGGACGCACGTTATGTCGGCAAAAAGGCTTCCTACTTTTACGATCGGCTTGGAATCACAGACACGGTACTTGTGCCGGGAAAAGATAAGTCCTTATTTTAATAAAGCACCGCATGCTTACGAAGCCTCCAAGCTCAGCTGGAGAAATCCAGCCTTGTTCCTACCTTTGGGTGGGGAGGAGGGAGAAGAGGAGGAAAAATAAACTCTGTTCTTTGAGCATCCCGTTGATTGTACCCAATGAAGCACGGGCAGGAAGTGTCACCGGCTGGGGGTTTTCACCTCATTCTTCTCCCTGCAATTATTACTTCTGACACTGAGACCTCCCCCCAAAGAACCACATCAATGCACGCTGGGAGGCTGCAGCGAGGGGGAAGAAAGATCCCCGTCTGCTGGGACAAATCCATAATGTGTACCAAAGTGCAGCACACAGTTTTCAGCTGTATTGCTGGGATTCTGCTGGAATGGAAAGCGTTTAAGGAGCTGCGTTGAGCTGAAGACAGCGCGAGGCAGGCAGATGGGGCAGGTATTCCCAAATCCTTGTTTTAAACACTAACACTTTCATCCAAGAACCGTTAGAGAGTATGTGTTACTCCATTTCTTGAAGGGTCCTCAAAACAGCAGGCTGGTTGAAAAACACTCTCAACAGCGTCTGCGTTCCCCCTTCTGCGCTTAAGGAATACACATCCAAACCGCCATGCTGGAATACCTCTTGAGAGTATGTGTTCCCCCATTTCTCGCTTTAGGAACACCCTTCCAAACGACCATGCTGGATAAAGTTGACTCTCAAGAAAATACATGCGGGATAAAAAAGGCTCTCAAGTTAGTCTGTGTTTCCCCATTTCTTGCTTTAGGAACATTGTCCGAAACCACCATGCTGGTTAAAGTCGACTCTCAAGAGAGTACACGTTCCCCCATTTCTTGCTTTAGGGACACACATCCAAAGGACCATGGTGGATAAAGTCGACTCTGAAGAGAGTATGTGTTCCCCCATTTCTCGCTTTAGGAACACCCTTCCAAACCACCATGCTGGACAAAGATAACTCTCAAAAGAGTATGCATTTCCCCATTTCTTGCTTTAGAAATGGTCCTCCAAACCACCATGCTGGAATGGAGCTCCTGAGAGTTCACGTTCCCCCATTTCTTGCTTTGGAAACACTCTTCCAAGCAACCATGATGGTTAAAGACAACTCTCAAGAGAGTATGTGTTCCCCCATTTCTCGCTTTAGGAACACACATCCAAACCACAATGCTGGCTAAAGACAACTCTCAAGAGAGTACGCATTCCCCCATTTCTCACTTTAGGAACACTAGTCTAAACCACCATGTTGGCTAAAGATGACTCTCAAGAGAGTACGCATTCCCCCATTTCTCACTTTAGGAACACTAGTCTAAACCACCATGTTTGCTAAAGATGATTCTCAAGAGACTACATGTTCCCCCATTTCTCGCTTTAGGAACACTCGTCTAAACTACCATGTTGGCTAAAGATGACTCTCAAGAGAGTACGCGTTCCCCCATTTCTCGCTTTAGGAATGCTAGTCTAAAACACTATGTTGGCTAAAGATGACTCTCAAGAGAGTACGCGTTCCCCCATTTCTCGCTTAAGGAACGCTCGTTTAAACCACCATGTTTGCTAAAGATGACTCACAAGACAGTACGCATTCCCCCATTTCTTGCTTTAGGAATGCTCGTCTAAACCACCATGTTGGCTAAAGATGACTCTCAAGAGAGTACGCGTTCCCCCATTTCTCGCTTAAGGAACGCTCGTTTAAACCACCATGTTTGCTAAAGATGACTCACAAGACAGTACGCATTCCCCCATTTCTTGCTTTAGGAATGCTCGTCTAAACCACCATGTTGGCTAAAGATGACTCTCAAGAGAGTACGCGTTCCCACATTTCTCGCTTTAGGAACGCTCGTCTAAACCACCATGTTAGCTAAAGATGACTCTCAAGAGAGTACGCGTTCCCCCATTTCTCGCTTTAGGAACGCTCGTCTAAACCACCATGTTAGCTAAAGATGACTCTCAAGAGAGTACGCGTTCCCCCATTTCTCGCTTTAGGAACGCTCGTCTAAACCACCATGTTAGCTAAAGATGACTCTCAAGAGAGTACGCGTTCCCCCATTTCTCGCTTTAGGAACGCTCGTCTAAACCACCATGTTAGCTAAAGATGACTCTCAAGAGAGTACGCGTTCCCCCATTTCTCGCTTTAGGAACGCTCGTCTAAACCACCATGTTAGCTAAAGATGACTCTCAAGAGAGTACGCGTTCCCCCATTTCTCACTTTAGGAACGCTAATCTAAACCACCATGTTGGCTAAAAGTAACTCTCAAGAGAGTACGTGTTCCCCCTTTCTCGCTTTAGAAACGCTCGTCTAAACCACCATATTGGCTAAAGACTCTCAAGGTAGTCTGCGTTTTCCCCATTTCCCGTTTTTGGAACGCTCGTCTAAACCACCATGTTTGCTAAAGATGATTCTCAAGAGAGTACATGTTCCCCCATTTCTCGCTTTAGGAACGCTCATCTAAACCACCATGTTGGCTAAAGATGACTCTCAAGAGAGTACGCGTTCCCCCATTTCTCGCTTTAGGAACGCTCTCCCAAACCACCATGATGGCTAAAGACGACTCTCAAGGTAGTCTCCGTTTCCCCCGTTTCTCGCTTTAGGAACGCTCTTCTAAACCACCATGATGGCTAAAGACGACTCTCAAGGTAGTCTGCGTCCCCCCATTTCTCGATTTAGGAACACTCTTCTAAACCACTGTGGTAGATAGGAGCGCTCAACAGAGTTATATGTTCCTTCATTTGAAACACCACATATACCTTGCTTCACGCATGCTGACAAGCAAGAGCTTAGTCCTGGCTGCTCTCCCCATGCAGGGATACAACAAGGCATAATTTGAAGCTTCACTACATAGGACATACAATTTTGCCAGTTACTAAACCAAAGCAAATATAACCAAAAACACATTTCCATCCCTAGCCAAAGCAAGAATCCTGGGTCTCAGAATTCATCAATATGGAAATGCAGTAACACAGAGATGCTGTCGGAACAGTTGATAGATCACTTTAAAAAGGCCACCCTTACATGTCTGGAGCTTAAGTGTTTGTACAATGGTTGGAAATGGGTTGTCTGCTTTTCCATAAATTTTTTTGTTGTTGTTAACGAGCAAGGATAAAGACATTTCTTGGTCATCAACCATTGGTTCAGTGTTTCCCCACTGACGGGTGATTCATTTAGGTCTTCTGCTCAAAAAGGTCGTGATATTCCAGTTCCTCCAGCTCTCGGTTGTACTTCTCGATCTCGCGATTTGCCTCCTCCAAGTAGTCGTTCATGAACTGGTCCATCACTGACGAGAAATGCGATAAGGAAAAGAAATCGTTGTGACTTCCCCAGTGAAGAATAGGTGGAACTGCAACCAAGGAACTTTGGGTGACCCACGGTATCTAGGTATCGGGGTGGAAAATCCCCACCCCACATATTTAAAATAAGGCCCACTGGGAAATGCAAGCTTTATTGAAGCAAAGATGAAGTCCGGAAGAGCACATGTGCTTCAGATCCCATGAGTTGGATCCACGTGTTACCTATTCTGTTAAATAGTACCCCAAAACTCCAAAGAAGAGTCAGTTTTGTGTAGTGGTTAGGACTCTAATCTGGGAAAATCAGGTTTGATTCCTCATTCCTCCATATGCAGCTGCTGGTGTGACCTTGGGTCAGTCACAGCTCTCTTGGAGCTGTTCTCTCAAGAGCAATCCTTGAAAGAACTCTCTCAGCCCCACCGACCTCACAGGGTGTCTGTTGTGGGGAGGGGAAGGAGACTGTAACCCACTCAGAGTCCTTTGGGCAGTGAAGGGCGGGGTATAAACCCAATCTCTTCTTCATCTTGAACCATCCTAGCAGAGCAGCCTGTGTATTCCACACACACACAACAATAAATCCCTTCCCCCGAAGTTTTCCTCCCCACTCACAGACTTGTTTGTTTGTTACTTTTGGAAGGCCTGCTTAGTGTCTTCCTTGATGCTTTCGTAAGCGGTCCTACAAAGTGACCATTTCGGCAACCGTTAGAAGATCCTTCCTGTTTAAAAGGGAGACGTCTTTAAATTGCACTCAGAGAGACCGTTTGCGCAACATGAATACTCAGGGGAGTGACTGGTTAATGAACTGGTTTTATGGTACCTGGCCAGTCACGCCCACCTGACTTCTGGCTGAGCTCCTGCAAAGACCTTGGCATCGTTTTGGGCCCCGTGACCCCTTCCCCATTCTGCAGTCGTCCTTCTGCTCTACCTTCTGCAGTTCAACAGCCCTATAGCTCTCTGGCTCCCCTGGAGTTGCTCTGCACATTTAAATCCCATGACTGGATTTCCTGGGGATTCATCTGAACTTGGAGAGCGACCCCACCATTTAGGGCAGGGGTGTCAAACATGCAGCCCGGGGGCCGGATGAGGCCCCCGGAGGGCTTCTCTCAGGCCCGCAGTGGAACTGGCTGTCTTCTGCTTCTTCTCCCAGTCCTGCGGCTGTTGCGTCATTGTAGGTTTGCAGCTTACAGATACACACCTGACCAGCATACTCAAGGTTGCGACAGCACAGATGTTTTGATGCAATAATTCAGAGCGAGAGGTGTCAGTCATCAGACACTGTTAAATAAGCAAAATATTGCAAGAGTGCTAATGTTTTAGGCATGTTTTAAAGTAAAAAAAACCCATCCTTTGTGTTTGTGTCCTTTATAACGTTTATATCTCCGCTACCTGGTATTACATTTTATGACACACATGGCCCGGCCCAACAAGGTCTCATTTATGTCAGATCCAGCCCTCGTAACGAATAAGTTCGATACCCCTGATTTAGGGGCTATCCCTTATATACTGTGACACCTATCAATGCACAAGGGTAGAGACGCTCACAGGGGGACTCTTAAAGTGCACCCCCCGCACTTGAACCCTAACCCTACATGCAGGAGTCGTTTCGTAGAAAAAGAGCTAGGGGAACTCATTAGCATAGCTCATTAGCATATGCCACACCCCCTGACATCACCGGAAGTGTGTCATGAGGCCACACACCCCTGACATCACCGGAAGTGTGTCATAAGGCCACACCCACCACTCAGTCTTGGTCTTAAAGGTTAGTCTTAAAGGTGCTATTTGTTAGTCTTAAAGGTGCTATTTGAACTCTTGGACTATTTTGCAGCAACAGACTAACACAGCTACCTCGGGGAAGCTCCTGGATGGGGCTGGGAGTCCTTGCAGAGGCCACGTGGAGTGGCCTCGGCCAGGCAGAGGGGGAGGACGCCAACTTACCCTCCTGCTTCTTCCTCCTTCTGCAACAGAATGAGGCTGGAAGAAGGGGGTGGCCGGAAGAAGGGGCGGGGCTTTGTCGTGTGCCCCGCCCCCTGCACCTCACCCGGGGGAACTGCGATCCCCCGCGATTCCCCTGAAATGACCTCTGCCTACAGGGGCTGTGCCATTTACAGGTAACATGCTCAAAGGACGGACGCCTCCGGAGACTCCTGAAACAATGCAATGGGCTCTAAAAAAATACGAAAGGATACGTGGGTGATAATCCATTTTGTCGCCAAAGAAATTCACAAACTGAGTCCCATTGTAGAAGTAACCAGCTGGAAGTGGATCCAAGTGACGCTTCACCTGCACGCAGAGGAAGAAATGGGTTGCTTAGCACCAAAGGTTCCCAACACGAATGTATTCATGTTTCAGGTACTGAAGGGAAGAGGGAAAAGAGCTGTCGTGGTTAGAGTTTTGGACTAGGAGCAGGGAGACCCGGGTTCAGAAAAGGGGATGACACAGACTAAGGGAGGACAAGTCTGTCAAGTCTAGCCATGGCGGCTGATGGAAATCTCCATATTCAGAAGCACTAAGCCTCTGAATCCCAGAACCAGGAGGCAACATCAGGGGAAGGCCTTGGCCTCTCTGCCCTGTGGCTGTCCCTCCAGAGGAAGTGCTTGGCCCCTGTGTGAGGCAGGAGGCTGGACGGACTATTGGTCTGATCCAGCAGGGCTCTCCTTATGTTCTGATCAGGGGAAGGCCTCACCCTCTCTGCCCTTTTGTTGGCCCTCCAGAGGAACTGGTTGGCCACTATGTGAGACAGGACCCTGGACTAGATGGACCACTGGTCTGATCCAGCAGGGCTCTTCCAATGTTATTGTGAAGCCCTCAGCCTCTCTGCCCTGTTGTTGGCCCTCCAGAGGAACTGGTTGGCCACTATGTGAGACGGGATGCTGGAATAGATGGACCAGTGGTCTGATCCAGCAGGGTTCTTCTGATGTTCTTATGAAGGTCTCGGTCTCTCTGCCCTGTTGCTGGCCCTCCAGAGGAACTGGTTGGCCACTGGGTGGGACAGGATGCTGGACTAAATAGGCCACTGGTCTGATCCAGCAGGGCTCTTCTGATGTTCTAATGAAGGCCTCGGCCTCTCTGCCCTGTTGTTGGCCCTCCAGAGGAACTGGTTGGCCCCTGTGTGAGACAGGATGCTGGTCTAGATGGACCCTAATTGATCTGATCCAGCAGGGCTCTTCTGAGGTTCTTATCAGGGGAAGGCCTCGGTCTCTCTGCCCTGTTGCTGGCCCTCCAGAGGAACTGGTTGGCCACTGGGTGGGACAGGATGCTGGACTAGATAGGCCACTGGTCTGATCCAGCAGGGCTCTTCTGATGTTCTAATGAAGGCCTCGGCCTCTCTGCCCTGTTGTTGGCCCTCCAGAGGAACTGGTTGGCCCCTGTGTGAGACAGGATGCTGGTCTAGATGGACCCTAATTGATCTGATCCAGCAGGGCTCTTCTGAGGTTCTTATCAGGGGAAGGCCTCGGGCTCTCTGTTCTGTTGTTGGCCCTCCAGAGGAATTGGTTGGCCCCTGTGTGAGACAGGATGCTGGTCTAGATGGACCCTAATTGATCTGATCCAGCAGGGCTCTTCTGAGGTTCTTATCAGGGGAAGGCCTCGGGCTCTCTGTTCTGTTGTTGGCCCTCCAGAGGAATTGGTTGGCCCCTGTGTGAGACAGGATGCTGGTCTAGATGGACCCTCATTGATCTGATCCAGCAGGGCTCTCCTGAGGTTCTTATCGGGGGAAGGCCTCGGCCTCCCTGCCCTGTTGTTGGCCCTCCAGAGGAACTGGCTGGCCCCTGTGTGAGACGGGATGCTGGACTAGATGGGCCACTGGTCTGACCCAGCAGGGCTCTTCTGTTCTTATGCCTTCCCTCTAGGCGTTCTGGTTCCGCTGCCCCCCCCCCCGGCCCCGAATTACCATACACAGAAGGGCAGGAATAATTCCCTTTGTTCCCAACACCCTTTTGTGTCGACGGAGCCCTCACAATGAATATAAATATTAAAACGTGAAAGCCATTATCTGCCTCAATCATTTTAATTTTCGTTCATTTGATCCAGACTTCAAGGTGCTTTGGGCTTTTTATTTTTAAATCAAAGAGTGTGATTCCCCCCCCTCCCCCCCCGTGAAATGGCTTTTATCAGAACGGCTTGAATACCAAATTTTAATAAGCCAGCGTGGAGAAATAATGAATACTGTTTAAAATAGAGATGTCGAGGGAAAGGAAGGATCGAAGGACTTTATCGCGGGGAGAGAAACCGCGAGCTACACTCTGCCGTGGGATTTGGTGTCCATGCTGACGGAACGCTTGGGAATCTTCCACTCTCTTTCGTTTCCAAATTTCTCTTGGGGCCCCAGCATCAACAGACCGAGGGAGGCTCTTCTGTGCAAATCAGTGTGTGGATCTGGAGTAGAGAGCCTACAGGTAGTAGGGAGCTAGTATATTGTTCAAAAATGTTTCCTTACACGCATAGTAACGTCGGGAAGATCCCTGTGCTGGGGTGGCAACCAGTGTTCCCTCTAAGATGAGTGAATGTGAGCTAGCTCACAGTTTTTTAGCCTCTGGCTCACACGTTTTCGCCTTAGCTCAGGAAGGAGGGGCTCCAGAGCAAACTGATTGGTGCAGTAAGGGCAACCGCAACTGTTGTTGTTGTTCAGTCACACAGTCGAGCCCAACTCCTCGCAACCTTGGACTGCAAGGAGATCAAATCAGTCCATCCTAAAAGAAATCAACCCTGACTGTTCCCTGGAAGGCCAGATAATGAAACTGAAGCTCAAATACTTTGGCCACCCAATGAGAAGGGAGCACTCACTGGAGAAGAAGACCCTGATGCTGGGCAAGATTGAAGGTCAAAGAAGACGGGGATGGTAAAGGATGAGATGGTTAGACAGTGTCATCGATGCAACGAACAGGAAATTGAGCAAACTTCAGAGGACGGTGGAAGACCGGAATGCCTGGCGTGATCTTGTCCATGGGGTCATGAAGAGTCGGACTCGACTGTGCGACTGAACAACAAAAGTACGTGAAACACCTTTGCCTCTGGATTGAAACTGGAGCTCACGGATCGAGGAAGGCCGCCCGCTCTTGTCCTGTCATTCGTCAGCCCTGTTTACTGAGCAGAGAGAGATGGATCCCCTGACTGATCGCCCTCAGATGGCTTCTACTCACGTGAATGCTCTTGATCTCCTGCAGAGTCAGCATGCCTCGGGTTTTCAGGGCTTTCCTCTGCGGCTTCTGTTTGGGGATTGAAATACCGTTTTAGTGCAATGGACATGACACCGAGGTACAGTCAAGGCAAAGAACCAGAACGAGGCAGAGCCTCAGAGAAACTGGGCATTGCAAAGGTGGAGGAGGAGATTGGATTTATACCCTGCCCCTCACTACCCAAAGGAATCTCAGAGCGGCTGACAAACTCCTTTCCCTTCCCCTCCCTGCAACAGACACCCTGTGAGGTAAAAGAAGAAGAGGAGATGGGATTTATACCCCGCGCTTCACTGCCCAAGGGAGTCTCAGAGCGGCTGACAAACTCCTTTCCCTTCCCCTCCCCACCACAGACACCCTGTGAGGTAAAAGAAGAAAAGATTGGATTTATACCCCGCCCTTCACTGCCCAAGGGAGTCTCAGAGCAGCTTACAAACTCCTTTCCCTTCCCCTCCCCACCACAGACACCCTGTGAGGTAGAAGAAGAAGAGATTGGATTTATACCACGACCTTCACTACCCAAAGGCGTCTCAGAGCGGCTCATGAACTCCTTTCCCTTCCCCTCCCCACAACAGACACCCGGTGAGGCAGGTGCGGTTGAGAGAGCTCTGACAGGAACTGCTCTTTCTCAAGAACTGCTGTGCCAGATCTATGGCTTGCCCAAGGTCATCCAGCAGGTGAAAGTGGAGGAGTGGGGAATCAAACCGGGCTCTCCCAGATTAGAGTCCGCACACTGAACCACTACACCAAACTGGCTGTCTTGGGGGAAGGGCAAGGAAAAAACTCTGTTCCCGACCGGCCTTCTGGCCTCTTCCTTCTCCAGCCTTTGTCCGACTCTGCCTCCCTGTACGTACGGAAAGCCTTCCCCACCATCGCCAACTGCATCCGTGCAGCCTATTGATTTAGAATCCTCTGCGCTGCCAAAAAATAAAGAGCACAGCCTTATGAGTCACATTCCTGGTCTATGGGAAAGATAAAAATTCCACAACAGCTCTCAAATTGGGCATCGGGGGTCTGGAAATTCCGCCAAATGAAACAGGAGTCTCAGAGGCACCTTTAAGACGAACAACATTTATTCTGACGTGACTCAGAGCTCACTTCATCGAATGCATTTATACTAAAAGCTGCAAACAGAGAGGCAGGGGTGCTACGAAGAGTTGCGTTTACGCTCCCCCCCCGGTAATTTCTCAGTTTTCTGTCCTTTGCAGCATTTAGTAACACTTCAGATGCACAAGGACCTTCACCGTGGGATAGACGGTAAGCTGCAGCAGCCCTTCTATGGCTGGTTCCACCTTCTGCGACAGCTATTTTGTGACCACGCTGTGTCAAACGTCCAAAGGAGAGGAGGAGGCGGAAGATGAGGAAGAGGTTGGATTTATACCCCGCCCTTCACTTGGGAGTCTCAAAGCAGCTCACAAACTCCTTTCCCTTCCCCTCCCCACAACAGACACCCGGTGAGGCAGGTGGGGCTGAGAGAGCTCTTGACAGAACTGCCCTTGAGAGAACAGCTCTTGTCAGAACTACGGCTTGCCCAAGGTCACACCAGCAGCTGCAAGTGGAGGAGTGGGGAATCAAACCCGGCTCGCCCAGATTAGAGTACACACACTTTACCACTACAGCAAACTGGCTCTCAAAGGTGCCTGCAGGCTCAAAAAGGCTGGGGATTCTGGCTTTAAATCTTATGCTGGAACAAAGCTTAAGAACATCAGAAGAGCCCTGCTAGATCAGACCAGTGGTCCACCTAGTCCAGCATCCTGTCTCACACAGTGGCCTTCCTCTGAGAAGAACGTAAGAAGATCCCTCCTGAATTAGACCAGTGGTCCACCTAGTCAAACATCCTGTCTCACACAGTGGCCTTCCCGAGAAGAACGTAAGAAGAGCCCTCCTGAATTAGACCAGTGGTCCACCTAGTCAAACATCCTGTCTCACACAGTGGCCTTCCCCTGAGAAGAACGTAAGAAGAGCCCTCCTGAATTAGACCAGTGGTCCACCTAGTCAAACATCCTGTCTTACACAGGGACCAACCAGTTCCACTGGACGGCCAACAACAGAGCAGAGAGGCTGAGGTCTTCTCCTGATGTTGCCTCCTGGTTCTGGGAGTCAGAGATTTAGTGCCTCTGGATGTGGAGGTTCCCCTCGGCCACCATGGCTAGTAGCCACTGACAGACTTCTCCTCCATGAATCTATCTAATTCCCTTTGAAAGCTGTGTATTCCTGTGGCCATCACGACATCCTCTGGCAGTGAATTCCACATTTTCATCACTCTCTGTGTAAAGTAGTATTTCCTTTTGTCCATCCCAAACCTACTGCCCATCGGTTTCATTGGATGCCCTCAAGTTCTGGTCTTTTGGGAGAGGGAGAAAAAGTCCCCTTTGTCAACTCTCTCCACCCCATGCATAATTTTGTAAACCTCTCTCATGTGTCGTCCCCCCCCGGGGGGTAATCTCTTTTCTAAACAGAAAAGCCCCAGACTCTTCCGCCTTTCCTCCTAGGGAAGGCACTCCAACCATCTCATCATCTTGGTTGCCCTCCTCTGTACCTTTTCCAGGTTTGTCTTTAAGGTGCCACAAGCCTGTTTTTGTTGCTTACAGACCAACACGGCAACTAGTTGAAAATTCAGCCAGAATTCCTCAGAAGAGCAGTTTTTAATACAAGATAGCAACAAACAAGGTTATCTCTTGAAAGGCATGAATAGGTACACACAGAGGGGTCTCGCCCTGCCTTTGTGGGCACATATGCAGATGGCATCAGCTGAAAGCAGAGCCAGAAACACTATCCTCAAACAAAGGTGGTCAATATGCCATTATTAAAATCTGGTTTCGGTAGGCAGTATCACGGAGAGAATCTTGCATTGCTGATATGCGTGCAAGCTTCCTGGAGAAGTAACCCTCAATACAATTTTATTGTCAGCAGAACTAGCTGATAATACTTCAACTTATCTGGGGTCAACCCAGCTCTTTTTGTTTTGCTTTTTAGCCATCAAGTTGCGGCTGACTTACAATGACCTCCTATGGTTTTCAGGGCGAGAAACAGAGGTGGTTTGCCATTCGCTGCCTCTGTGTAGCAACTCTGGACTTCCCTGGTTGTCTCCCATCCAAGTGTTGACTAGGGACGCGCATTCGGCTAAGCCGAACCGAATAAATACCCGACAAACAACTTACCGGTATTTTTCAGGTACTTATTCAGCCGAATCAAATTCTCCAATTTGATTCAGCAAACCAATAAGGTCATCCCGAATAAAAGCCGATATTATTCGGCTTTTATTCGGGTGCATTCCCCTTACTGGAGCGGCTGGACATTTAAATCTAACAGCCGATAAGCTGTCCATAGCCACCCAAGACTTCACCAGTAGTCTCCCATCCAGATACCAACCAGGGCTGACTGAGATCTGACTAGCCTGGGCCAACTCAGGTCTACCCATGACTTATTAACAAGATAACAGTCTTTTGTCCAAGTCATATCAACATTAGTAGATGTCTGCTCCCCGCAAAAAACTGCCCTGTCACCTAGCAATCTCCATTTCAGTACAATACAGAATTAAAGCTCCCTGCACCTGAGATTTAAAGGACAGAAGACCAGCCGTGGTTCACAGCACAGAAACAGGGGCAGAATGTTATTGACACAAAATAGATCTCAAAATGATCCCGAGCAGTCTGGAACTTATGGAAATGTGCCGAGTCCTAGACATCAACACCATAAATCACTCATTCGGCTTCGGAAATCCTTACTGCTGAAGGAACTGGCTGACCACCTTCAGAATCAGCCAGGCCCCTTTCACGGTATTGACAGCTTGCAGCCTGGTTGGCTCACGGCAGCCCTCCTAGAACATCTCCAATAAACTGCACAGCGTGACACTGGCAACGATTGAATCTGTTCTGCACTTTGTCCCTCACGGATGCAAATGCAACAAGGAGAAACTTCAGCTCTCCTGGAAGTCCTGCTACTGTCAGGTGCGCCTCTTGTTCCTCCCACCCCCCGAACACACACACACACTGCATGATCTGGCATTATTTATTTCAGGGATCCCCAACCTTTTTTTTTTAAGCTTACAGGAATCTACGGGATTCTGATATAGTGTGGTGGGCGGCATCACAAAATGGCTGCCACCGGAGGAGGAGCCATCCACAAAATGGATGCCACAGCCTACCGCAGTGAAGATCCTTGTGCTGCGGTGGCAGTGGCTGCCAAAGCAATTTAAAAAAAAAAATCTGCACAACCAACCAAATCTCCACTGGCCAACCTTGCTGGGCAAAAGCCCCACCCACTTTCTAAAAAAACACTGGGCAGGCACCAGAAAAGGTGTTGGTGGGCACCGTGTTGTGGACCCATTTTACTGTAACACGCACAACTGAAAATTCCACTAGGTACTAATGCCCCGCCAACATCTGTGGATGCCTGCCAGATTTCCATCAAGATAGATCAAGATAGGTGGCCGTGTTCGTCTGTCAGCAGCAGTAGAAAAGAGCAAGAGTCCAGTAAGCACCTTAAAGACTAGCAAAATTTGTGGCAGGGTGGGAGCTTTCGTTGGGAGAGCCAGTTTGGTGTAGTGGTTAAGTGTGCGGACTCTAATCTGGGAGAACCGGGTTTGATT